GTGCAATCGCTCTGCCCATCAGCTGCACCAGGGGAGCCCATCCCGGGCTGAGCACCTCTGGTCCCTCTCAGCTCCACCAGACCACATCTGGCAGCTCAGCCCTTTAATTTGAATCCCACACCACACTCACGTTGCCCGGGTGTTGCTGTTAATTATTATTTAACTCAAGAGCCACGGCCATAGTCCTGAGGGCTCACCATGCCAGACACTGTGTGCACAAGGGCAAGGATGCTCTCTGCCCCTGGTGACTGGGAAGGCCGTGGGAAATTCCCACTTTTCCCAAAACTGGGATATTCTCGCTCCTTTGTACTCGTGCTCCCGAAGCACCGCAGTACACAGGGCTCCCTGAAGCTGAACCCGCCCTGCCCCTAAATAAAGAGCTCTGAAGGAAACTGGGACAAATTTCTGCTCGGTGCCTTCCCTGCTCCGTAATTACAGGCATATGCACCAGCTGCCTTCCCGCCTGGGCAACCCACCTGGGGCTCATTCCTCCCCATTAGCATCCAGCCTCCTGCTCCTAAACCAAAGCTCTCGCAAACAGCAGCTCAGGCTGGTGAGCAGCCTTGCCTGCCTGCCCTGCGGTGATTTTTTGGTACAGAATGAAGAAAAAAAGGGGGGAGGAAGTGAAGGTGCAGGCTGTGCCTTGGCCAGCATCTACAATAAGCTCCTTCCCACCCTGAATATTTTCTAAAAAAAAACACCAGTAAGGGTGAATTTCCCCCATAAGGGGCTGCAGCATCCCCGATGTCCTGGGTCAGCCTCCAAACCCCCGGGGCAGCCAAAGCGGGGGCCCCACAAACGCTGACTCGCCCTTTCCCCCATATGGGCGTTCTGCTGAGTCAGGGTCACACCAGGCCACGGTATCGCTGAGTAATGCTTTCGGGCAGCGGTGGGGGGGGGCTCTTTTTGCTGAGTCACGGTGCAGCGGGGCCACGTGTGGCCGGATATCGGGAGGGCGGCTTCAGGCCGACGTGCTGAGGTTGCAGCCGCTGTTCTTGGCCCCGCGCCCTTTCCTCGGGACGCCTGGAGAAATCTCCAGAAAGAAAAGCCCCGGCTGGCCGCGGCGGAGGATGTGCAGCTCCCGTACCCCGGGGGAAAGGGGGATGGAAGCCCAGGGGGGGCAAAGGGGGGCTCCCTCTGTCTGTGTAGGGCTCGGTTCCTGGTTCACCTCCTCCCCTCCCCTGAGAAAGGCGTGCGAGCTGCGGTGCAAAGTCCTGCTCGGTGCCTACGTGCGGTTTTTCAACCCCAGCTCCTTGCTGCTTGTCCCGTCCCGAGCAGGGCGTGCTTTGCTTTCTGCAGGGCTGTAGCACGGCCACGATGGAGGCGGCTCGGTATCTATGTGCCGTGGCATGCGTGTTTCCATGCAAATACCTACATTTCAAGTAGGTATTATAATCTGTGCTTCCCGTTTCCACCCAGCTGCTTCGTTTATGCCCGAGAAATGCACGTGCACATCCTTCTCCCTCCACCTCTGTCCCTGTTTTTTCAGTGCAGAACTGCACTGTCCGTCTGCAGGACCCTCCTGAAGGCACACCCCCCCCCACACACACACACACCCCATGGGGATTTTCAGTGCCTTGGGGTCACAGCCTCCGTGTTTCCACCTGCATCTCTGATCTCGGCTCGGATTGTTCCGTGCTGACGGCAGCGAGCACAATCAGTTCTGCCAGGGCCGGGCAGCCTCCCTCTAGTAAACACCAACCCACCCACAGCACGTCCCATACCCTCCGGCAGCGACTCCCCCCGCCGGGAAGCCAATTTAAGCGGATATTGCAACTTCATGTGTTGTTTTGTTTTTTTTTTTTTTTTTTTCTTGTTCCTTTCCCCTTTGCACAGCAAGTTCTGGGTGCTGAGTCAGCCTCCCCTTCCTTGTCAGGCACTGCAGATTTCTGCTGTGTCACGGTCTCAGGATGCCCATGCTCCCCCCCTGGCCAGCCGAGCCTGGCTGTCACCAGCCGGCCCCTCCTCGTCCCCCTGGGGACCAGGGGCCAGGGGCAAGCAGGGCTCAGGGCTTCCAGCGCGGGGCTGTGAGCTCTGCTCTCTGCACAAGCGAAGTTTCTGCCTGCAAAATCCACAAGGAAAATCTCCCCACCTCACCTCCCTGCCCCTGAAAAAAATCACTGATTCCTCAACAACTCCTTGTTGTTAACTCCTCATCTAACTGATCCCCTGACTGAAATATTTTCTCAGGGGCTGGGACAGGCAGACAGAGGCTTTCAAGCCCAGCAGGAGCTGTTACACATACCTGCCTCGGGCTACCCGATTCAGCTTTGCCACAAACCTCCAGGGCAATCTCAGCGGTGCCCAGGCACATCACAGCCCTGGCACCACCCGCCCGCTGCTCGCTGGCAGGGTAGGAGATGAGGGATGGGACTTTTGGTAGCTGTGGGGGACACCACAGGTCAGGCACTGCCATGAGATCCAAGCAAAATGCACTAGTGCCCTGGGTGAGGACTGGCTTCTGGTTTGCTTATTTCCATGAAAAGCACACGTCTTTTTCCCCATCCATCATTCGTCAGCATCCATTTATGAGGTTTTCTTCTAGGAAGAGCAAACCTCTGCCAGCACACGGGCACACACAGTGCCCTTAAAGCTTCCCTGCACTGCACAGCAACAGCAGAGGGGAAGCAATACAAGTCCGCGCTGCTGAGCACTGGATGAGGCCAGAAAAGCCCCAGGCAAGTGGCTGCAAACTGATGAGAGCCCACTTTCAGTTCTCCTTCCATCCTGCTGCAGGGCCTCTGGGCCTTTCCGGAGAGCGGGGCCCAGTTTCACAGCCCCTTTATCCCGAATAACCCCGATACCAAATAACCCCTGCTTCTGGGGTGCAGCTTGCTACCCTGCACCTCTGGAAAAGCTCACAGCAGAGGGGAGCTGCAGGAGGGACCTTGTCTCCTGTGACCAGCCCAGGAGAAGGTGAAGCCCCCAGATTCAGGAGATGCACTTGGGGCAACTCGGAGCAAAAAGCTGAGGCTGTCCTGGGACAGCGTGGTGGTGAACCAGGACTTCTTCTTGGCAAGAAGTACCCTACCTGGAATGGCAGTGGCATGGCTGGGTACCCTCTCTCGTCCCCTCAGTGTCTCACATCCACGTCTACATCTGGAAAATGACTTCTTGGATGCATCCCCAAAGTGCTTCTAAGCACACCACTTTGGGAGAGCAGGCAGGGGACAAAAGCACTCCTCTAAATGCAACTGGAAAGCCCTTGGGGAGGAATAGGACACACTACCAGAGCTGCAGGACAGAGGTGTAAGGAGGAATAGGGCTTGGGGGTGTTTTGTTTGTTTTTATTTCTTCCCCATATCATTTCTTATTCATAAAATGAATATTATTATTCGTTTTCACATATTTTCTTCTTCCCACCAGCAGAACTGCAGGCTCAATCTGTGCTCCAGCTCAGGAGCTGTTTTGTGTCAAAACAGGACTCACTGAAAACTGCACATGAGCTTCTAGAAAGTGATGTCAGTGGAAAAAATCTCATTTTGGGGCCAGTCCAGTGACAAAAAAAGCATCAACATCTTCAGGCAACGCTGGCCATGCTGCCCTGTGCTCCCTGCTCTGCCAGCGGACACGTGGGGCTCTATCACACTTCTTTCGAAGTTTTGGACATCACAATACATTTATTTTATAGGAAAATAAGCAGGCCAGCAGCAAAGTCATGTGAGAGGGTGTAGGAGAGGAGCTGCCAGTTTTTGCTAGAATGCTCTGCTGCTTTAACGAGAGGAGCCCTACAGGAAAAGCCTGGCTGAGTCAGGGTGGAAGCGCTGAGTAATCCTTCCTGAGAGCGTACCAGATGTCTGCCCCGGTCCCAAAACAGGCGTGGGGGCACGTTTCCTCTGGGACAGCTCTCTAGTCCCCCAGTAACGAGCCCAGCTGGGGTGTAGGTGCAGGGACAAGGCAGCACGTGAGGTGCACGGCTTGGCTGGCAGCGCCTGCCGCTGCAGCGCCGGCTTTGAGTGCCCCACTCTTTTGGCTTGAAGGCAAAATTTGTGTTTTCCCAAAGCACAGCTGCACAGAATCTTCCATCCCGGCTAGCTGTGCTTCCAGCAGAGCTGCAGATGGAAAAGAAGGGCCCCACTTCATCTGCTGGCCGCCTCCTCGACCACCGAACCAGACAAAACAGCAGAGCCGCCAGCTGCTGGCAGCGGCGCCTTGACCAACTCTCTTTTGCTAAATCAGAAATGATTTGCCTTTGCAAATCTCTGCACGCTTCCTCAGAGTTTACCCCAAGTCTCACAGCAGCTATTTCCAGCCATCTGGGTGTGGAGGAGATGGAGCATTACCCTCCTGAAACGCCCTGCACACGGCTGCGGTACCAGCGGGGGCCACTTGCCACACAAACAGGGTATTTTTGCCATCCTACCAGAGCACAGAAAGGATTTCTCCATGCGTTGGTGCTGGCTCTGTGCAAGGAGACAAGGCGAATTCAGCAGGGTCTGGTGCTGTGCAAGTGTATTTGTGGCACTTGCAGACCCAGCAAGGGGTCTTTGCAGAGGGATGAGGAGCAAGGGGGCTTGGCAAGGGGAGCTTGCAGAGCTCCTCATCCCATGGCCAGCAAGTTCCCTGAGAGGCTCTACGATGCTCGCTGCCAGGGGAAATAAAACATTTGCAATTGAGTCTTGCAAGAGCGGATTAGGACAGATGTTGTATGATCTCCAGAGGCGGAACACAGCTGGGACACAGCTGGGTGTAGGGAGAGGCAGCTCCCCACCCTACCACGGGCATCACCCCCATAAACCCACCTTTCCTTGCCCAACCCCGCTGCCCCAACACCAGGAGCCCCCCGGGGAAGGAGAAGTGGCCGGGCATCCTCTTGTTTGTGCTGAGCTGTCACGAAGCGTGGGGCGACTTCCTCCTGCCTTCCGAGGCTGGCCTCCTTTCGGGGGGGAGAGGCAGCAGGGCAGGGCGACAGCCACGCTGGGAAGGGAAGTGCAGGCGCGTGTTGCAAGAAGTTTGTGCTCACACTGAGGTCAGCCGTTCGGCTGCTCACGTGGCTCCTCAGTATAAAGCTGGATGCGGGAGCTGGGCTGCCCAGCTCAGACGCTTCGCCGTCCTGGGAGGAGAAGGGAAGGAGGAGCACAAGCAGGAAAAACAACAAGCGCCAAACAGAAAAACTCCGTGGAGAAAACATGGAAACTTCCCAGAAACACGGCTCTGAAAGGTGAGAGCGGGGCAAGGGAGAAAGGGTACATTTTAGTCGAAAAAGTAGTGCATTGCTCCTCCTGCTTTTAGGCACGCTGTTCCTGTTTGCTCTGCAGGGAGCAGCTTGCTCCTCCTCTCCCCTCTGGATGGAGTCTGTCAGTATTCCCCGCTTGGGACAGCGACTGGGATGCTGGTACCCCAGGCTCTCGGGATCTCTCTGCTCCTTTTCCTGCCATCCCAGTCCCCCTGCTTTTCCTAGACAGCTGGAGGGGAGCCACAGCTCTGATGCCTGTCCCGCTGCTTTTCCCCAGCATGTCTCAGGACCTGTCGGAGCTCCTGAAGGAAGCCACCAAGGAGGTGCACGAGCAGGCGGAGAACACACCCTTCATGAAGAACTTCCAGAAGGGGCAGGTGTCCCTCCACGAGTTTAAGGTATGATATTAACGTCAGAGCAGCATGGCTTGGGTGCAGGATTTCCTCACCAGGAAGCAGGCTGGTGGATGGGGCAGGATGTGTGGGGACTAAAGGGCGGAGGACGGGGGCAGCATCAGCATCTCCTGTGCAAAACAAACCACAGCACCCTCCTATCCTGCCTTTGCTATGCCTTTCAGGATGGGCAACCAAGTTGAAGCAGGAGAAAAAAAAAAAAGACAGTAAGATTGAAGGGATTAACCTAACTGCGTTTATCTGCCTTCATAAATGCCTGCATGTTAATTAGCGGCAAAGGCAATTAATGGAGACGTAACAATGCGCAGATACGTGAGTGGCTGAAGTGTCACGAGTGGAGCGGGCTAAATTTAGAGCACCCTAAGCAGTTACAGCTAGAAATAATGGTGGGATAGCGATAAAGTGAGGCTGTGAGATCACGTCTGGCACCAAACCTTGCAGGGGTTTAGCTGTCACTTGGGTTATAGCAGGCTGAGATCAGGAACAATTGCTCAAAGGCAGACTGAACTTGGGCAAGCGGTATCTGCTGCTAGCAGGTAGGAGCCTGTTGCTTTTCTTGATATATTAAGAGTTATTTGCAGTTACTAGTCTGTGCCTAACCTGGCTATAGGGGATGCCTGGGATCTGAGCTACATAACAAAGCCATGAGCAAAACCAAGGCAAACACCTGGGCTAGAAATTCCCGGCAGGCCAGAGGAACTGACGCATGGGTTTGCAAATAACAGCCAGTAATCTGACCTGTGGCTTAATTATTTTGTTGTTGAATCGCTCCTTGATAAATAAATCCACAAGAATAGGCAAAAGACTACTTACTCCTGACAGGTTGTATTCATGATACTTAGTGAAGCATGAATTCAATCGCAGGTGCTGGCTTCCTGCTGTTAGGAACGGGGCATTTGTTAGGCAGTGAATTTGAGATAGGTTGGCATTAACAAAAAAAAAAAAAAAAAAAAGGGCCAGAAATAGGCCTCTAAGATTCAGGAGCACAGCTCGGTTTCCCAGAAACTGTTTACACACTGTCAGGGGGAGTGAGAGGTGACTCTGGGCTTTAAAAAGTAATGATGATTTTCCAAAGCCATGTTTCCCACTGACCCACTGGCTGCCACCAAAAACAACGGGTCAGGTTAAATTTTCTTAATTTGTTAGGCAACGTTCCTGTATGTGATTTCTTTTCCAGTAAGCTGGAAAATGGGTTATCATTTAAAAACCTCTTTTTTTTTTTTTTTTCTGTTTACCCTCCTGGCAAACCCACGCATCAGCCCCGATGCACGACTCCCTAGGATCTGAATATCTGTTTCCCCAACCAAGTCACTGCCTGTGTGTATATCAAAGTCCTGTTTGCTGACACAGGGGCGTAAAGTTGAAACGGCACCTCCTGTCCTGCAGAACTGATAGCTTTGTGGGAGAGTAAGCTGCTTTCTCTCCTGACATCGGTGTAATCCCTCTTCAGACCTGACTCACCTGTACTATGATACCTGTGTGTTTTACCCCTTGCTGTCAATAAGGGATTTCAGTGTAAGCAAGAGGTGTTGTAGGTGTAAATATGAATACAGCTTCAGCAAACAGAATCCCCGGGGAAGGGAAGAACACAGCTAGATTGTCTTATGCCACGTGGAAAAGTTGGCAGACAGAAGAAAATATCGCGTAAGCTGGGAAAAAACAACAATAACAATGGTTTCAAAACAGAGGGATGAGCACATAGCCTCTCAGTGATCCTTCACAAAGGCGTTTGTTTTTCAGAGGCGGGCTGTGCCTCCAGCCCCCTTTTAGCTTGTGTCCTCAGGGTAACCAAGAGGCAACGCCATTTCCAAGACCAAAAGAGAGAGCCCGGGTGCCTCCACTCCTGGGCTGGTGGGCTGCCAGCTGAACAAATAGGTTGCAAAATTAGCAGGGTGGGTCGTCATCTCACAGGGCCCCACAAAAGAAAGCCACATCTTGAAGCATTCAGGCTGTAACAATGCACCAAGCAATGTACCCTTGGGAATACTCTCCATATTAGCTGGGGGAATGAAGAGAATAGACCATTGAGTGATTTCATAAGGCTCTAGTTTCCATTGTATCAAGCTGCAAGGACTTTAACTTGAAGGTGAAAGCAGCAGCTTTTAAGGGCAGGTAAGACCAGTACCTGCTGGAAATGGCTTAGGCCTTACCTAAAAAAGCAGGCCTTACCTAAAAGCAGGCCCTACCTGCTGCCTAAAGAAGGGGAAGGGCTAGATTGGTGTCTCACTGTCCCTTGCAACTCTGTTTGCCACATAGGAAACCTGCACCATAACAGATGTGCGTGATTAATACTGGGTGTGCGCATGAGTAACCTTTTTCTTGGTGGGATTTGTCCCAAAACCCTGAAGAGGACAGCCAGATGCACCTGTACCTCATCCCCTTCCTTCTGTTTCAGCTCGTTACAGCATCCTTGTACTTCATCTACTCTGCTCTGGAGGAAGAGATTGAACGTAACAAGGACAACCCAGTTTATGCCCCTGTTTATTTTCCGGCGGAGCTGCACCGGAAAGCTGCCCTGGAGGAAGACTTGAAGTACTTCTACGGCAGAAACTGGAGGGAAGAGATCCCATGTCCTGAGGCTACTCAGAAATACGTTGAAAGGCTCCACTACGTCGGCAGGAACCACCCAGAGCTCCTGGTGGCCCATGCCTACACTCGCTATCTGGGAGACCTGTCTGGGGGGCAGGTGTTGAAGAAAATCGCCCAAAAGGCTCTCCAGCTGCCCAGCACTGGGGAAGGGCTGGCTTTCTTCACCTTCGACGGAGTCTCCAACGCCACCAAGTTCAAACAGCTCTATCGGTCCCGCATGAATGCCCTTGAGATGGACCTTGCTACTAAGAAACGAGTCTTGGAGGAGGCCAAGAAAGCATTCCTGTTAAATATACAGGTGAGTAACAACCAGCCAGCCCTGTCTGCCCACACCCTCTCTCAAATAAGATAACAGCTTCAGGGGAATGGCAAAGCCGGTATTTCTGCTGTGGAGCCTAAAGGAAGTTGTGGGTTATGGCAACCTAGTCGGAGTTGGATGGCTATGCTTGTCCAGACTGGGAGCCTAGCAAGCAACTGGTCTCTGAGGGGCTCTTCTCCCTCCTCTGGGGTTTCAGGCTCTTCCATGTGCCATTATTCAGATATGAATGTGTGCTTATACCGGGAGTAGAGATCACCACCTTTCTGTCATTCCTCTTTAGTGCAGCTTGATAGGTCTGTGGATTTTGACCAGCTGCACTGTACACCTTGCTTTCCTTCCCACCAGAACATGGACGGTAACCTTCACCTGAGCTGGAAGCTTCAGGGGAAACCTGTAAAGTGAACAGGCAGACCCCACAGGCAGACTGTTCTGGGCAAAAAGTGGCAAAAAGAGACTTGGGTTGGAAGCTTGTAGGTTCCTTTGGTTCCTAAAGTGCCTGGGGCAGGGGCAAGGGGGGCAGTGAAAGCCAAAGAGCAGAGGCCACATAATGAGACACTGTTCCTTCTTCTCAGGTGTTTGAGGCGCTGCAGGAGCTGGTGTCAAAGAGCCAGGAGAACGGTCACCTTGTGCAGCCAAAGGCAGATCTTCGTGCTAGGAGCGTTAACAAATCATATGAGCACGGTAAGACATTTCTAAAGGCTGTTGTTTAGCACTGCCCCTTGTAGTTTTGCTATCCTCCCTTCCTCTGCTGTTGTTTGTAAAAGTCACTGAGAAATATGTGTGATATCCTTGCCCCGTCTCTTCACCAGCAATCAGTACTTAGTGCAAAGGCAGGCATTGATATGGGCAAAACTTCTTCTAGACATGACAGAGCATGAATGACATACATGGGCTCTCCAGAAATAGTGTCAGTGAGAGAGCTGTACAAGAAGACACTCTGCTCTCATTCTCTTAAGTTTTAGTAACTCATTAGCCACATGAGTTTCAACCACAAGGAAACCCGGCCTTAAGGTCACAGAAACAAAGACTACAATTTGGGGCCCAGCATATCAACTGCGATGCTGAAGGAGGGTTCTTCCACACACTCAGCCTTGCCCAATGGCCTGTCCTTTCGGACAAAATCTTTCTCTGATCATTTTCCTGCCTTTCAGTTTATTATGCCCTCAACTTTTTGTTCAAAACACTTCCTGAAAGTGCAAGGGGTTTATAATGAGCATGGTTCTGGATGGTAAATAGTAACCAGCTCAGACCTGGTGAAAACAGGCTGCCACTCAGTTTTGCAAAAAAAAAAGCTCCATCTACTGGCAAGTGCTGATCATGAACTGGGTATAGCCCGAGCAACCGAGGCTATCCCTTTTTATGCAGATTTGCTGACTGAAGTAGGAGTAGGCTCAGATGTTTACAGAAGAGACTGGTTTCCCTGATAATGTGTGCTTCCCATAAGAAAGCCCTTATGACCTACCCATTTTGGAACCAAAAGGGAGATTTTTTTCAGTGCATACTGGATTGAAGCAGTTTTCCCATGGCAAAGAATGAAAAGCATCCTGGTCTTGCGCATCACCAGACAATGAACCTTAGAGCAAGTTCTCAGAGAAGGGCAGTAAAATGTCCCTGTGAATCTTTGCTGCTCCTTCTCCAATTGACCCACAGAGATAAGATTTTCAAAAGTGCTTGGTGTTGGATGAGGAATCCCATTCTGAGGTTGTACTGGGACAATTATTTGTCTGGTGTGCTAAGGACTACCTGTTTAAGGCCATAAAATGCCTAACAAATGGGAAACAGGAGACAAAATGCCTTTTAAATTCCGGTCTTAATTTTTTATTTGGCTGTCTTCTGCACACATCAGGGGTCTGAAGGAGTCCCTTGAGGAGCCAGGCAGAGCATTTACAAGTTAGAGAGGAGGCAAGGGAAGAAAGAGGCCAGTCTCCAAGCACAATCAGAGGGGTTGTGAGCCTTGTGATACCCAAGTCAAGTCATTTGCTTCCCTGGCTCACCTGCCCTGAGAGAGCAGAACCTGCTGCCGCTGTTTCCCCCAGCCTCACAGGGCTCTGGGCCCTCTCCTCCTTTCCCTTGATGGCTCCAGCAGGGTCTGCCAAGGCACACCAGCATCAACTTGCCTGAGCCCATCCTCATCCGTGTTATTTTCCCTGCTTGCTCTAGGTCCAGCGCCTGGGAAAGAAAGCGAGAGGACAAGCAGGAGTCAGACAGACCTGGTGGGCACCTCTCCCCTCGTGCGGTGGATCCTCGCACTCGGCTTCATAGTCACGACAGTCGCCGTGGGCTTGTTTGCTATGTGAACAAGCAGGACCTTCACCTTCTCTTCGTGCCTTCCCTCACCCTGAACTAATCCATCTTCCCCAGTCCCTTGAGAGAAATTCCCCTCGACTGGGTACTGTGATCTTGGCTCTGCCACTAATATTTGGAGACCTTTCTCCACAGAAAGCAGAGAGTGCTGCACGGGGGTTCAGGCAAAGTCTTTCCTGTGCTTGGTGTGAGCTCTCCTTGGAGACTATATCACCAGAACCAAGGGCAGGAAAGGTCTAAAAACAATGGCCAAGAATTGTGGTTGCTTTACAGCGTATCTGCAAAAATCCTACAGGATCGGGATCAGAAATGTAGCTTTGACACCTGTCTTGCCTCAGAAATAAGCAGTTCCCCGGAGCTCTGTTTGCTCAATATTTCATACTGCTAGATAATACTGTGATCACTGTTTCTGCGGAGCCGCGCAGCTCCCGTGGGTTATAGACTGTTTTATATGACACTATCAGGTCTTTGTTAAATCTTTTTCCAATCATTTTTTTTCCCTTTTTTTTTCTTTTTTTTTTTTTAAACAGACGATGCTTGTTGAAGATACAGTGTTGTTCTTTTGTCTGATTATATAATTTATATACAGAATAAAATTTGACGTAAAGTCTTTGAGCCTGATGTTTCGTATTGTTAAAGCCTTGCCTGGGAAGAAAGGAGGTGTCTTTCCTTCCTCCCCGTTTTATGTCTTTTGGAGCTGCTGCCTCCACAGACGTGGCAACAGAGGAAGGTGGGAGTTGTCAGAGCCAGCCTCTGTTCCCACTCAGTTCTAACAATAACCTGTCGTACAAGCTGGGGCAGGTTTCTTCAGCTCCTACACGCTGGTCTCCATTTCTAGAAATGGAACAAAATTCTGCAGTTGTACAAAGCATCTTTAAGGGGTGGCCACTGGGTGTCAGAGCTGGCTGCAGTCCTATTAAGAGAAAAATGTGATGAGACCTTCAGCTGGTCCCTAAAAGGACAGCTCTCCCTGGCTGTGGCCAGCTGAGGGCTTCATTAACTAGACTGCGTTTGTGAGAACTTCCCCATGAATCAGAAAAGCACTTGGAAATCAAATGCATGCTAGGCTTTGACCGTACCTGACAGCTAAATGGGGAACAAGCACGCAACAGCATGCCCTCACCTAGGTGAAGTCACACCAGCCCAAATCACTCCCAGAATTTGGCACACGTGAGGTGATGCTAAAGACAGTCCAGCTAGGTGGCACTGCTGGAGCAGCCTGTGCACAGCTCTTTTCGCTTCCCTTTTGCCATATGAGGTCTGGAGGCTTGGGTTGGTGGCCAGCCATCGTCCTGCCTGCTTAGGAGGGTCTTCAACTCCAGGAGTCACTGCAGGAGGGGCTGTTTTTCAGACCCAGCGTGGCCATAACCTCTCAGCTCAGTCCTTTCCTCTGCTCCGGCAGTGACTGTAATCCCAAGAGCAGAACCGTGACAGGGAGCAGGAACCAGAGGGCAGGTCCTGCTGAGGAGCACCAGCGGGACAGGGAGTGATGCTGTCCTCACCCACCCCATATCCTTCCAAAATCCCCATTACTACTTCTTCTCTCCTAATTAATAATACCCGTTTGCCAACTTCTGGTAAGAAAACTAACGGGTAATTCTTCAAACAGGTAGCCGAATATTTGAAAAGCAAGAACACGAGACACAACGGATACTCAAACATAGCCATTTATTGAAATTCATGCAGAGTTCCACCTATCCAGTGCTCCAAGGCATCCCACACACATCACCATGGTCCCACCAGCCCTAAGGAAGCCTTTGGAGGCTGCAGCTTTGTCCCTCTTTATGGCTAACCCCCCCCCCCCACCGCCATTACACGCCCCCTGCACGAGATGGTTTCACCCGCCCCCCCCCTCAGCGGGGCCAATGGTCCCGCCCGTCCGCCATTTCGCCTTCCCCCCTCTCCTCTCCCCCAACCTCTCGCGCCAAAACCTCTCCCGGCACCCGCGGCCAATCGCTGCCCGCCGAGGGCGGGGCGGGAGGGCGGCTCGGACCAATAGGGCGGCGGCGCGCCACGGGCTGGCCAATGGGGAGGCGGGGGGCGTGTTCCCGCCAGCTCTCCGCGGCGCGCGCTTTTTTTTTTTGCCGCGAAACAGCCGCGGCGCGGGGGTACCGCGGGGCGCGGGGGTTTCGGGGCGGGTGGGCGCCATGTCGGGCTTCGACGAGCCCGGCATCTACTACAGCGACAGCTTCGGCGGCGAGCCGGCGGCCGACGAGGGGCAGGTGCGGAAATCCCAGCTGCAGCGGCGCTTCAAGGAGTTCCTGCGGCAGTACCGCGTGGGCACGGACCGGACGGGCTTCACCTTCAAATACAGGTGCTGGCGGCACCCCTGGCGCTCCCCTATAATCAGAATTATTCCATATATGTATGCTTTTTGTAAAAATATTTGGCTTTTTTTAATCAATCAGCGTTATATCTCACAGTGTCACTGCGAGTGCTGCTGTCCCTGCTTTACTCCCACATTTTAAAGCCTTTAGGGTGCAAGGTTTCCCCAAATCCCTGCAGGATTCCCTTAATTCTCCCCCTATTTTCCCCATCTCCCCTCCGAGACTCTTAGCAGAGCCTGCCTGCTCTGCACCCAAAGTCCTTGTGGGTTCCTGGTGCTTCCTGCCCTGCAAACCTTCCCCCCTTGCTGCCTCGCAGGGATGAGCTCAAGCGGCACTACAACCTGGGCCAGTACTGGGTGGAGGTGGAGATGGAGGACCTGGCCAGCTTCGATGAAGATCTCGCTGACTACCTGTACAAGCAGCCCGCGGAGCACCTGCAGCTGGTAAGGATGGAGGGGCTGGGTGGCTTGGTGCACTGACATCGTCGTGCCGTTACACCCTCCTAATAGCTGAGCTGTTCTGTTCCTAGCTGGAAGAAGCAGCAAAAGAGGTTGCAGATGAGGTCACCCGTCCTCGTCCTTCAGGGGAGGAAGCCCTCCAGGATGTCCAGGTCATGCTCAGATCCGATGCCAACGCAGCCAGCATCCGCAGCCTGAAGGTGAGGTGGTCCGCTGCTGCCTGGGTGGCAGGGCTCACCCCTGTGTGATTGCAGGGGAAGCCTTTGATGCTTAATTGCGTAATTCAGGATGTGGGTTGCATGCTAACTTACAAGCCAAGGGTACTTTTGCAGCTTAAATCTGGCTGCAAGGGACTGGTACCCCTGGTTCCTGCTATGGGGACATCAATGCTGTTAGTGATAGTCTGCATATAGTGAGTGTCCTTTCATGTCCTGGTTTAAAACAAACACAATTTAAGTCATGCACCCACATCCTACTACTATACAGCCAGATATGCTGTCAAGAAGCACAGGCTATTTTATTCTGGTACTATAGTCCCATAAACGTGGGGAGTGTATCCAAGAAAAAAATGCTTCCTTGACGTCTTGACTCTCCTATCCATCTTCCAAGTGTTTTTCTCACCTCCCCTTCACCTTTTTCCCTTACAGTCCGACCAGATGTCCCACCTTGTGAAGATCCCCGGGATCGTAATTGCGGCAACCCCCGTGCGAGCCAAAGCCACCAAAATAGCCATCCAGTGCCGCAGCTGCCGGAACACCATCAACAACATCGCCGTGCGCCCGGGCCTCGAGGGGTATTCTCTCCCTAGGAAATGCAACACGTAAGGACTGACCCGGGGCTGTGTGTGGCAGGGTGGTGGGGGAAAAGTCAGGAGGAAAGGACCCCAAGAGGTCTTTAGTCCAGCCTCCTGCTCAAAGTGGGGCCAGCTCTGAGACCAGAGTTGTTGCTCAGGGCTTGCTGTCCCAGCACAACTGGTCTCCAAGCACAACTTCCTAATTGATCATATTCCTATAAAATCACCCAGAGCCTGAAAATAGAGGTTCAATAAATCCCTCGGTAGGTTGTTCCAAAGCATCCTATGAGGGCTTCCACATGCAGTAATGCAGAGGGTGCCTCTGCTGTCTCACATGAGTGTAAATCTCACTTCAGCACACTGCTAAAGCTGCATCTCTTCCTCCAGCTCCTTTTGCACAGGGTTTTGCTCCTGTTTTGCAGGAGACAAGATCCTTTATATACCTGTATTTCCTGTGCATCCAGCATCCCTGTTGCTACAGACACAGAAGCTTGCTTTCGGCTTTCCTTCTTGACCTCTCCCTCACCCTTTTCACTCTCACACTTTCATCTCTTCCATTAACAAACAAGATGAACGAAAACCCTTTCTGCTTGTCAGGCTCCTGTGCTGGCTTCTGCTTATCACAGGCTTACTGAAGCAGCTTTGGTGGCTGTTGGGAGGTCCCCCTTCCACATTTCATAGTGGCTTTGTCTTTGCTCTCCGCTGAGGCTGGCTGTGCTAAAATCTCCTGTGACGGGGATTGTTTGTTATCACTCCCTAAGCCATCTGCTGCCTAACTTCGCTTTCCCCTATTGCCCTTTGTACCTAAAGGTTCATTCCTGCCTCGAGTTGCCCCATCATACTGCTTTAAGCTCCTGTCCTGGCTTCCTTAGTAAGTTTTTTATCTTACTCAAACTCCTTGCTTCCACGTTCCCCCTCCCTGGTGGGCTTTTCATCAAATTCTGTAAGGCCGCTCCGCCACTAACTCCCAAATCCTGCTTCACAGCTTCTGATGCCTGCGTGAACCGCGAGCATTAGGCTGCCGCTGTGCTGCAGCTCTCACGCTAGCTGAGCCTGACGGATTGTGCCTTTGAACTCGTGCCTGCCAGTATTTATTTCCTTTGCCTTATCTCTGACACAGCCTGAGCGGTCTTTGGGATAGGCATCACTCCTGGCTCCCCGTCCTTGGCTTCACGAGTTGGTCAGCACAGCTCTGGTGCAGCGGGGCTGATGCTCATCAGGCTTTTCCTCCTTTGTCTCATCCCTCCAAAAAGCCCTGCTGCTGCCTGCCTGGAGTCAGGCAGTGACTGCAGCGTGCTGAAGAGCCAGCAGGATGCAGAGGTGCTCCTCGTCCCCGGGAGCCTGTAGCCTCACAAGGCAGCTACGCCGAGCCGGCGTCTCGAGAGACTCCGGGGTTGACAGCAGCCTTGTCACGCTGCTAATTGCTTTCTCACCAGGAACCACTTAACGTTTGCCTCGCGTGCGAGGTTATAAAGAAATATGTCCTGTCAAGTCATTGAGTCTATGCTGTTATCTCCTGCGTAATTAGTGAATTAGCTCCCTCCTTGCTTGTAGCTAGCAGGGGAGAGGGAGGTGGCTGGGAGAGTATGCAGGGGAAGCATCGCCGTGTCTTTGGCTTGTTGTGGTGCTCTGACCTCGGTGCCTGCTTTTGGCAGCTGCAGGAGGTGAGACAGAGGGTTTGGTGAGCCTTTGCTCTGGTGACGGTGTCTTTCTGACCTGGCAGAGGTGGGCTGCTCTCGGCTGTGACCGCTGTCCCTTCTACAAGTGCCAGCCCCCAGCTGACTCTCCTGATTGATCTCTCCACACAGAGAACAGGCCGGCCGCCCAAAGTGCCCGCTGGACCCTTATTTCATCATGCCAGATAAGTGCAAGTGCGTGGACTTCCAGGTCCTGAAGCTGCAGGAGTCCCCCGACGCTGTGCCACACGGAGAGATGCCCCGG